GACAACTAACCAAATATTTGCTTAGAAGTCCATTACCAACATGGTTAGGTGTAGAACTTGCAAAGTTAGTTTTGGATAGAATAAAGATTGAAATAGTTAAAAGCAGCCAGGCATGGTGGAACAAGCCTGTAATCCCAGGAGTTCCAGAGGCTGAAGCAGGAGTCCAAATTCAAAGCCAGCCTCAGCAACTTTTCAAGACCCTAAGCAACTTAGAGGACCCTGTCTCATAAAAAGCCTAAAAACCAGTAAAATCAGGTCATCCTCACTGATGTACCAAAGCATAACCAATCTCACATTCTGAATACAACTTAAAAGACTTATTTATAATGAACTAGCCATTTACTTCATCTTCCAAAATACTATTCCAAAATATAGATTAATTCCCAAAATGCCTTGGGTGGAAGGTAACCTTTAACATTATCTAGACTTCTTACATATATTTGGTTGACTGCTTTTCTAGCTCACTAGTTGATGAACTAACGCCTCCTAGTGACCAATTTGTGCAATACAGCTGAACATAAATGCTACCAATAATCTACTTATTATGTCAATTAGCTTTCTCTACATTTCTCTTGCCAATAGCCTACTTCTGATTTACATAGTCTCAAAGGGCCCCAAAACTTGGTTCATAGGATTATATACATTGCCCCCCTACTTAGATACTGTTATGTTACAATTACTTCCCATTGTGGAACATCCTAATTCCTTACCCTTGCATGGAAAGCCCTCACAGAATGAATCCCATTTGCCCCTTAGTTTTTAATCCTTCCACTCAATTGTAAGTGAGCACCAGTCATACATCTACTTGTTTACTGCTTTACTTTCCCAAATCCTTCAGACTTCCTGAGATTCTTCCAAAATTGTACTTCACTTCAAATTCCAATTGGTAATCAGATTTTAATGTATCTAATTCACTGGCTAAGATGTCAGCTGAGTGTTTTTACCACTATACATTGACAGCACTTAAAATGAGGTGTCTAAATGCTTTCTGAATGAAGATATATTACTCAAAATAGGGCAGATAGGCTTAAGATATTTTATTCAGGACAGTTAACAGCTGAGGAGTCTGGTGATGTAGAAGACACTTATGGCAGTGTTTATTTTGAAGTAACATGAAAATACGGGAGCAAATGGAGCAGGGTTTTGGCTCTTTTTGCATTAAATTCAAAACATGGTATGTTAGAGAGGCAGTAACTCAATGATACACAAAAATGAAAAATACTATGATCTCACAAAACTCCAACCACTTGAGTTCAAAACTGTCAAATCAAAGTCTTTCAGGCTTGGCAAGCAGAGAGGCATCAGACATTCTACAATAACACTGGAAACATTAATAAACATTTTAGTCTGAACATTGCCTTGGTCAAATAATATCCATCACTCTGCCCTTCATCTAAGAGATTATGAACACCTAATTTCCTTTCCTAGGTCTGCTTCTACTTTGCAATTTTAGTATCTGATAGATGGTCACTTAGGCAAATCTTCCTGTTGAAGGGACTTGATTCCAAGGATGACTCCCTCTTTTGTCATCTTCTTTTCATTAGAACACAGAACGTAGCTTGAAGAAACAACAAACTTTAATTTGGTCATTATTGATTCTCTGGAAGTAAAAACAAAGTAAATGGACAAATGTCTTTTGGGGCAATAAAGGACATAAAGCCTTGCTTACAGACAATTCCTCCCAAAAGCCTAAGGATGAAGGAAAAGAGATAGCTTATCAGCTTACTTGGGTGGTATAAATGATCAAGTTACTTTTTAGTAACAATTTGCTAAGAATCAGAAGGTGGAGGTGCACAACAGATGACGGGATAACAAAGATCCAAAAGAAGGGATTAAAAAATATATCTGTGGGGTAGCAGGTCCAGAAAGGTAAAAAAAAATATTATTTTTAACCAAAAATACAAATAAAGAAATCTTTCTGCAGCAAGTTTCTACATTGCCACTGAACATTCCAGGAGGAAAAAAAAATAAAGTTTAAAAAAGTCACAATCCCTAATTTTAAGTAAATGACTGAGTGACAATATCTCTAACAGATCAAAAACTTCAAAACCTGTAATAACCTCATTTGTGTAGCCATGGCTCTGAGAAAATGTGAGAGAAATTGTGGATAAAAACTAGATCTCTTGTCCTAACTCATCTTTGGGGGCTTTATCCATGATTTTCCTTTCTTAGGCCTGTTTACTTCTGGAATGTGGATATTTATAGGTTCCCAGATAGCCTTGATCAAATAATCCTTTTCTAAATTTTACTCAACCTTTGTGGCAAATGTCTGTCATTGTAACATCCATTTTCCTATGAGATTCTGCTCTAGGCAGCAAGCAGCACGCCCATGTCTACTGTAATCACCAGCCCTCCTGTAGCACTATAAGCATAAATCACAGGCTTTCCTTTAAAGTAAGAATACCAATAGCCTTTTGCCCTTGCTGCTTTGCACAGCACCTGGATATAACATTTAGAGCCCCAGCAGACATGGATGATAAAGCAACTTGCCAAGGACAGAAGCTTCTCTCAAACTATTAAGCTCTCACATCAGTTCTGGAAGAACACTCTAAACCACTGTTATTTTTCTTATTATAAAACACACACACAAAGCTCTACTGATGTGTAGATTAACTCTGATCTTTAAAATACTTCACATTTTAAAAGCTCTAATAAAAAGAAATCATCTTTTATTTACCACTTAAGGTTCCTTGACTAAATTCATCATGAACTCATTAGATACACATCAACGAATCTCAATTGTTCAGATAAAATGACAAAAAATGGAGAAAAAATTTTCTCTAAGCAGACATACAATATGTAATTTAACCTTCCTTGTTTCTGGTCATTTGGAAAACAATTACAGCTTTTGCTCTGTCAATACTACTGTAGAATATTTTATTTCCCAAAAACCATAAAGTATGTGGCCACTGCAAGATGCCAACTCCTTACTTTTTCAGTATCTTATCCTTCCTCCAGCAGGCAGTAGTCTTTTCCTATTAAATCTGGGTGGGCTTCTGACTCATCCAAAATAGAGAATTTATAAGACCACCCCAAGAGGGTGACAAAGGGTTAAATGTCTGGCCTGCCAGGTCTTGGAACAGACACCAAGCTGAGACCATACACAGGTCAAGTTCTTACCACATGGCTGCTTAGGTGTCAGCTAACTTTAATGACCTGTGCATGAAGAATATTCAGATGATTCCAATTTCTAATCTTCAAAAGCTATCCCAGTTGAAGCTCAATAGAGCAATAACTAACTACATAAAACTGGTCAGCCAAAACAATTGTCCTAAACCATGAGGTCTGGGGAGTAATTTTGTTATAATATGTCCTCTACATTCTCACAGCTGTTTATAAAATATTCACAATTTAGCTTTGTTGGTTTTACTGGTTTTCTCAAAAATATACAACATGTAGAAATGATAACTACAGAAGACTTCAGAATATCTTGGTTAACACCAAGGAGACTCAACTATTAACAAATTACTTAATTTGCTACATGGATCCAATATAGGAATATGGCTAGTATACTGCCAACAGTCCAGATAAATAAACCTTCCATGTTCAAGCTCAGTGATGTAAAATTGGGAGATCCATTAGTAAGTAAGCATCTCTGGAATATGTCATGAACAGGTAGAGTCAGTTCAGAACTGAAGAACCAAAAAAGGTAGGTACTCAATCAAAGAAAAAAATTATGTCAAAATAATAAAACATATGGGCAAAAGCCCGGTGGTAGAAAGTGAAAGGAAATGTAGACAAACTGCTCAAACTGTGCAAATGCAGGTTGGATGGGCTGAGTGGTTGCCTTCCAATTCACTCTACAGGTTCTAGGTTCAATAAGCCAGCTAATAGCAGAAACAGACTCGGCCTCCACTTTTAAAACTTGTAAGACTGGCATAATCAAAGTCTAAAATTCCATCTGATGTCAAGATAGATACACATCTCAGAAAAAATTCCTCAATGTCCAGGAACATTGGCAAATATTAAGGTGAAGATAGGCTAATAATAAAAGCATGAAACATGAGAAATCGAGTCAGATTTCATTTAGTTTTTAACCTAGATTGTTTCTGGATACCATCCAATGGTCAAAGAAAATATTCCAATATATAAAAACAGGTATTTTTAAAAAGGAATGAAATGAGATTTTCCAAACTTAAAAGCTGAGTTAAAAGTTAAATGCTACAAATGCTTTTTTTTTTTTTACTTTATTTTTCCATAGCAAACATGAAAAAACCTTTTCAAAATAGGGGCATAAGTTTAGATGTAGCATCAGCATATCAAGACACCTGTTACCTAAGCAAGACCTTTAAAAACAGTAATAAACAAAAAACCTTCAACTAGTTCTGAAATTCTCTCCAAAGTCAATTTACAAAGTGATTTCAACATAATTCTAAGCATTATCATGTTTAGAAATCACATTTACTAAATTCTCACATAGATGGATAGATCAGGTTCCAAAAGTACTTTAGACATTTGTTCAGAGACTTACGGTTTTAAATCTAAAATTCCATCTTTCCCATTTTTATTCATCATGTTTTATTCCTATAGAATAACTTCATCTATAATATCTTATTGGATCAGTCAATTTCACTTATTTGAAGGTAGTTACAAGTATAGACTTGATAAGACTAGGACAAATATTAAGTATTGGATTGAATTTCAAAGCATTTGATGTACAATTTCTAAGTTTTTCATCTGAAAGGGACTAGAAACACCCCAGAAACAAGCACATCCAGGACTTGCATTCTAAATAACACTGTCCACTGTAAGGAACAGATCTTAAAGAAATGGCACATTCCAGGACTGGGAAAGAAAAAGCCAATGATGCTCCTAAAATCTTTCTTAGCCATAAAGCATGCACATACTCAAAACCCGATGTATCAAAAGCTCACAGGATACCAATCATTGAATCTGGGACAATAAAAACATCAAAATTAATTGTGATAGTATAAGACTTGCCAATTTTGATTAACTGCTAATTAAAATAAGCCTCCATACCAAGGAAAAAAAATACAGTGTTGAGGAGGTAAATGGTTTATTATGTCTGCAGCTTTCTGTCAAACATGTCAGGAAATAAATAGTATATATCCATGCATATGAGAATACTCAACAAAAGTTAAGAATATACAAGAATTCTTTCAACTATTATAATTTCAAAGTTAAAGGAAAAGTAATTCACATCATTAATCAGAGAGAACCTAAAATATCAATCTGGAACTTGACTAAGGAGAGTCACAGCTCTGGAATCCCACCTTGTTCACAACTTCTTCATCCCTTCCTTATATCCGTTTACTTACTTTTCAATTTCTTAATATATGACTCTGGGGTCATATATAACTTGGGGTAGACTGCGAATGTTCTTGCCTTCCAATGGAAGGATTACACAATCATCACATTTTTTATTCCTCCACCTGAATTGCACTTTACAAAATTCTACTCATTCTTGAAATCTCTGCTAAAAACACTTACACAAATTTTGAGTACTCTAGCAAAAACCAGAATAACCTCATTAAATTTTTTAAAGCAACAACTCGCTAACTTTATCATGGAAATGTCATTAAATCTGTTAACTTCTGGCAGTTGCATTTTGAAGTGCTTATTGCCAATTCCTCCTCCTCCTTTTAGGTGTAAAACATGAGAAATTAAAAAGCATTGGTTTTATTTTAAGCAATACTACAGAGTTCTGAAATAATAAAAATCAAAACAGGTAATTAAAAGATCAACAAAAGCTATGAATGATATTTCTAATATGAAAAATTTTTAAATAAGATGACTTATTTCCTGCCAGCAATTTATTTCTAAATTGTTATGCCCTTGTGTCTTTTTTTTAAATACTGTTTTATTTATTTTTATGTGGTGCTGAGGATCAAACACAGTACCTCACAAGTGCTAGGTGAGCAGTCTACCACTAAGCCACAACCCCAGCCCCTGCCCTTGTTTTATACCAAAGAATTTTAGTCATTAAACTTATTTAACTGATAAATTTGAAAGTACAGCAGAATGTCAAATTAAAGAAACACAAGATACACAGTATACTAAGTACATAAATTAAAAATTTCCTATGGATGAACACTCCTCCTTAAAGAAAGTAATTTCATACACTAAAAATGTTCCCATTTCTCCAAAATTACATGGTGGTCAGGTGAATCTTAATCAGTCCAAGAACCTTTTTTTTTTTTTTAATCCAGTTTATATTTTAATATCTGGATTTTTAATTCAGTATACAAAAACTACCAGTATACATTTATTAAGTTAATTTCAGTATTATTTCACCATTATCACTTACATTTACTTAGTGCTTTTAAGTGGCAAATTACCTAATTATGAACACTCATTGCGCTAAAGTATATTACAATGCAGATTTTTTTAAAAACTGAATTACATATATATTTCTATTTTCTAAAGTTCCTACAAAGAACTTATACTTAACTATTTGTTCCATAATTTTAAAATAGCATTTGGCTTGGCTTAGTCAAAAATAAAAGGCTAAAAACCTTTCTAAGATTAAATCCATAAATGGACTAAAATTTTAAACCAAGCCTTGAAATCACAGCAAAGGATATTTTCATTAGTTTAACATTTCTGCATGGCATAAGGTTTTCATAAACAATCTAGTTTTTATCTTCATTTTTAATAATGGAAATAGTCAGCAACTCAGATAAATCCACAAATTCATACTGTCTTACAAGCAGCAGTAATATCAACACTGTTAATCCAGTTATCTCAGGGGCCTTATCATACATCAGTTATATGTTAACCTAAATTCACAGAAAAATAAAAATATTTCTACCAAAGATGTCTCCCTTTCATGTTTGTTGTTAAACGAGCTCAAAAGGAAATAGAGGTAGAATCCCATTTTTCTTAGGTACCAACTCACCAATTCCAACAATTAAGATATTTTCACATCTAGATAAGAGTATTACAAATACTGCTTCACTAAATCTATATAAAAGAATAAGAAATTACACAGACGTGACTTTCAGACATCCAGGTTAAACTAACGACTAATCAACTCTTTCTCTGCTTGTCATACTTGAATGACCATGACAGGTCTTATAAGCTTTTTTATGGGATTTTACCATTTCTAATAGGAAAAAAAAAAGAGAGAACTAACTTGATAGTGAATTGGTTAGTGGAAACCAAAAATTAAGCACATAAAAAGAAACTCTGAAGTGTCTCAAAAGTATCTGTAGCTACATTTTCAATAAAATCTGTCAGAATTATGGAATTCCTTTCTAGTTTTCAAATTAACTCTATTTAACAGGACTAGGGAGGTGGCTCTGTTACAGATTTACAGGTCACAGCGGACTAAGCACAGAACAGCCTGATCTAGATATCCGTTTTCCAATGTTTAAAAAAGTATATTCATGTGTTTTTAAAAAATCCAAATATCACCAGTATATTTTATAAAATTAATTCCAAGTTTTATTAAGGATTTCAAATTACATATTTCAAATTTCTAGAATGGAATAAAACCACTTTGGAACTGAAGAAATGGCATAAATGAACACTGACATTCCCTGAAACTCCAATTTTATAAAGAAAACAATTCCTGTGCAGACCACACCGATTATTTAACAAGATAAAGTATTACTATCTTTTCACTTTGGCATAGCTGTTTCCTAAAGGAACAAAACAAAAATAGTGATTTTGTTGCTTCTTTCAATTCATTAAAAATGGGATTCTATCTTTAGATCAAAATTTTTAAGTTCAGAAAAAGCTTGTGTTTAGATTATGGTTAAAAAAAATTACAGACTATCTAAGTCAAAGCAATCAAAATCATTTTGAAAATGAAGGAAAAAAACTATTATAATTGGTTAAGGATTTCCAGTAGTTAGTTAAACATCTCAGGAATAGGCATGGATAATTCTATACAAATAATAAAATGTCTTCACATTCTAAAACCTTAATACTAAATTTTCAAAAGAAAACTATTACTTCTAAAAGTGAACTTAATGTAATTTTATTAACAGCAGAAACTCAAACCCTCCTGTTGTTACAATTCATTTAGTTCACCCTCACTGTCAAACCAAAAGTTCACCCCCCAAAATTAACAGTAATAAGCCTGAGGTATTTTAAATGTGGCTCTATAGTCTCAAATTTAATTGCATTCCCCTTTCCCAAATGGTCTTATTACCACTTTAGTCCCATGATCTCTATAGTATTTTGTTATTATGGTCATCTGATACCCTGGAAAAAAATCCTTGGACCTACTGAATAGTTCACTCATCCCATCCAATTTTCATTAAAATAGGGGCCATGCACAGATCTGAAAGAGTGTTGTCTGGCCAGATCCAGAAGAGAAGTGTTTTCACTTCGTTTTCCAGTTAATTACAGAAGCCTGGTATGAAAAAAAAAATGCCAAATATCACACTTGTGGTACAAAACAGGCCCAAATTTTTAAGCTTTTAAAAAGGCTGAGAAACAGCTCATGAAATTTAACTTAATATGCCTTATCACATCTGTGAGGTAGTTAAGTAAACAGTACTACCCATTTTAATACACAGTAAACAGAAGCATGGGTAAATGACATACTAAAGCAATAAGAATTAGAATAAACCATACAGGCTTAGGGCTTTGGTTCTAGCCCAAAGGAAATGAAATATAACTCTTTTGCTTTTTAAAACTATATCACATCATTAAGAGTCTTTTTTTTTTTTTCCCCTTCCACTTGCTTATGAAGCTGGCATGCTTTCCGTCAATAATATGGTAAACTGGGCACAACCCTTAATCCAAGCCTCTGGGACTAACCTGAATTAGTACAAAATTAAGACATTATCTTGTGAGAACTAAAATTATATTTGACATTTTTATTTTAGGCTGCAAAAACAAAAACAAGCAAACAACAAAAACTTGAAATAGGCTCGTCAAATGATGTAAATTCATCCTTTCCAGGAAAGCAGAAGGTAGATCCTACCACAAAGAAAAGATGCTTAGTTAATGGAAGTTAAAATTACAAGTACACTTTATCAGGTTAATAACCTTCTGAAAATTATTTTATTCACCTCCCTGTGATAACCAATAACCAAATTATGAGTTAGGTTTCCTTAAAATTAACTACACTTCATTAATAATCCTAACAGTTATCGAGTTTGGTCTTACTGGAAATTCTTAACCATGTTTGTTATGGGTTTTTTCTTCTCTCAAATGATGAGTTATATTAGTAAAAATTCACTACATTTCTGTAACAAATAAATGAAAAGCACAACTTTGCAAGCAGACTTAAAGTTACTCTTACTACCAGCTGAAAACTACTTTGGTTCATCAGGAAAAAAAATTAGCAAACAAAAAACATTTAGCTTAATTTAACAGTTGTTAATTTTTATAGTTGTACTCCAATAGCTACATGATACAAATATTCCAGAAGAACCAAACTGCAGCAATGAATGAACATGCGTGAGAATTTGTGCATTCAACAGATATGACAGAAAAGCTATAGTTAAAATGCTAGGTAGAACAAATTTGTCTTTAAAATATCAATTCCTTTCCTTTAAAAAAAAATTATTGTGTCTACCAAGAAAATACAAAAACATAAGGCTGTAAGTAAATAATAGTTGTGTATAGGCTATTACAGTGCAGGTTATCCTCAAGGCCACATACATCCTGCTTCACTGTTGCTTGCACTCTGCTGGGTTTTGATCCTTCTGTTAAAGGAAAACAACAAGTCAATCTAATTTCTACCTGCTTAATGCATTTTAAATAGTAATTAACTACCTTATCACAGCATTTCACTTTTGTAAAAAATTTGCCAAATAAAAAAAAGGCATAGGACAACTATGGCAAGTTATATTTTCATATATTAGCAAATTGTTGAAATGCTAAAATAAACTCCAAATTTCACATTGCAGAATTAACTCAATGAGACACACTAAATAATAATCTTAAAAATATAACCAATTTGTCAATCATATTATCATTTGCCTTTTTTTTGTATTTGAAGATTCTAATTCCATTCATATTTACATATTAAGATCCATTTATACTTAACAAGATTTATTTAACTTGATTTTAAATTAGCCTCTTGCTTGCTTATGTTGAAGTGTTCTACGAATACTTTTTAACATCAAGCAAATGAATGAACAGATCCTACATTTTAAATAATCTCTGGTAAATTACTATCTATTATTTGGGATATGACAAATTCAATTCCTAGGAATGAAGGACTCGAACTTTCAGAAACTAAGAATAGTGGTGGTTGCAAGAATCTAAAAAATAGTACTGGTCGCCATTTTCCAAGCATTCTTGCACTCAGATCTCTTAAAATTTACCCTTGTTTATAAGATTTTCTTTGGAGGGAAAACATAAAAATACGTTAAATTTTAACACTTAAAAACTGAAAAATAAATAAAAGCCCCAAATAATGTGCCATTAAAATAAAATTTTAGGGTTTACTTGGCAGAAAAGTATAAAAAAAAATGCAAAGAACCAAAAACAATGCTTCTCAGGGAAAGGTGCTCTGAAGTTTTATGTGAACCATATGAAATGACAGCGGGAATTAGAAAAGGGGAAAAATAAAAGTTACACAGACAATGGGATTTTATATTATTGACTGTAATGAAGAAAATTAAATTTCATAATCTTACTTTAGCCTGCACAAATTAAACAGAAAACACCACTAATTCTGCTCACCTTCGAGTCATAGTCTGGATCATTTTCCTCATCTCCTTCTTCTTCCCCTTCCTATATTAAAGTTCAAAATGCATCCATGAAGTAGGTATATAGTAGGAAAAACTGGCTCATAACGTAGGGAAAATTTAATACAAGTTACTCTATGGGTCAACAGATTTTCATGATTACAGAGTTTGGTGATAATGCAATTTAATCTGAAAGCTTCTATTATGAAAAATTTCCCAACACAACTTGAGACATCCAGACAGCTTTTATTGAAAAGATTTACTGCAGCCAACGTTGAAAAAGTTTACTGCAGCTTTTGACTTCTTCAAAGAGCTGATAACCCTGCAGCAGAACAAAATTATTTGAAATAAAAAAAAATGTTGCTGAGTTTTACAATTTATTTATTGAAACCTTATACATACATTGTTTGGCTGTAGAATTCTAAAATCATACTTTCCAAAATTTATCCCAAATCACATAATGATTATATAGCAAAGAAATACATAAATCACTCAATTTGCTTCTCAATGTCTTAAACACAGAGAATTGTTTGCTCATTTGGTAAACATTACCTCATCCGCTTCTTCACCTTCTTCATCATACTGAAAAGAGAAAACGGGATTAAATGTGGATGAATAAAACACTTGAGAATACCATCAGTAACAGCCATCATTTTCAACACCTTTTATATCTAAAACGGGGGAGAGCTTCCTCTTACAGTAAATGATTAAGCTAATCATATATTAGCTTTGGGAAATCAGTTTGGTGCTATCAGACAATTATTACTGTAATTACTAGCCTGTATTGAGGTGTAAAATACATTGCAAAAAAAAAAAAAAAAAAGCCTAAAACCTATTAGCAAAAAAAAAAAAAAAATCCAGAACATTAAAGGGCAGCCTAATTTTATCTGTTAGCATCATGTAATATTTTCTTAGAGAAAAATTCTGTTATGTTAAAACACCAAAGAAGTCCTAGTTGTTCTACATGGAAAAGGCAAGAACAATATTTTTAAAACTCAGGAGAGGCTGAGGCAGGAGGATCTCAAGTTCCAAGCCAGCCTTGAAAACCCTCAGCAACTTAGCAAGACCCTGACTCAAAACATAATAAAAAGGGATATAACTCTGAGATAGAGTGCCCTGGGTTAAATCCCCAGTACCAAAAAAACAAAACTAGGAAAAGATCTATAGGATAATCAGTTATTAGCCTCATTTTGAATTATTCTACATCCCTTTAAAAAAATTAAACCTAATTTCCTGCTAATTCTGACTCTCATACCCACACCAAACTATTTCATTGCAGGACTCAAATTTACTCACATCATCATCATCATCTTCAATAGCTTCTCCAGTGAAGTATAACACTGATCTCGGGATTATACGCTCACGTAAAAAGTGACCAATTTCGAAGTCTGCAGCAAGAATAGCTTCAGCATCATCATCCTATTTTTTTTTTTTTAAGAAAAGCACAAAATTTAAGAATAAGCTGTAACTTAGTTCGGCATATGTAAGATTCAAGAATTTAAATAATAACAAAATCAGTGGTTGAGCAATTGCCCAGCATGTGTAAACTCCTGGGTTTAATCCTGAGCACCACAATTTTTTTTTTTAAAGGCCAACTGTATTTTCTACTTTTTAAAAAATACTTTAAAATTAAATAATTTAAATTAGCTCATAAGTAGTCATCTACATGTGCTAGGTTTATAGAATTTTAATTAAAAACTTAAATAAGTTAGCAGACTAGTGTTCATGCTAAGAATAGTTATGGCAAATAGAATTTAAAACTGGTTATCACTTAATTCTTTTCTGGTTCAAACATAAAATGTAAAAGCAACTCTTGAGTTTTTCCTTTGGAAATATTACTGAAAAACTAAGAAAAAAAAATCTCATGCTTTCGTAAGTAACAACTCTAGGTATATGATAAATAAAAGGACATAACAGACCACAGAATATCACTTAACACTTCCTAAGGGACAGTACCCAAACAGCTGTAAGGTTTTAAGTCATTATTGCAAATGAGGAGTTACAGAGTCCTACTTAATAAAGACAATAAACCAAGTCAATCTAGGATTTCTACGTAATAGCAAAACACAGTACAGAAATGACTGACATGATTGAGAAAATTCTTACGTTTAGATACTTACCAATGAATTTAAAAAAAAGTTTATTAAGCCATCAAGATAACACACCCTGATAAACAAAAATGTACTGGGAAGGGGCAGACATGGAGGACTATGAAGAAATCCTAAATGGAGATTTCTTATGTAAGACTGGTTTTGCCATCAATATTTAGAAATATACTAAAACTGCACTTGAAGACAAACTTCAAGCCATCAACTGATATAAAAATAGTGTGAAGCTCTTTTAATGCTCCTAAGTAGTTCTTACTAAAATTCACACACTGATTTACATTCCCATCATTTGTCCTATAAAGGATGTTTTGAGTAGGCCAGTTAATATTCTTTTCAGACAGAAATACTTTTTGCCATTTGCAATATGGCTTATGCCTCAGTCAAGAGTGTTCCAGTATTCAAATTAACATAATATTTACTTTCCCACACACATAAAACTATTTAAAACTATCCCAATTAATTTAAATTCAAATACATGGTCAACAGAAAAGCAAATTCAAAACATTAACTGGCCTACCCTGCCTGTAAGGACTTATTCACGGTTTTCATTAGATCATTTTGTATACATTTTTGGTTCTTAAGTCACAGGCCACATATAGTCACCATATGAAATCATATCCATTGGCATAACAAACAAAAAAATTTTCATAGTAGAATGCATTCTGCCTTCATTAAGAGTTTTAAAAATTAGATCCCTAATAGAAAAAAACTGTCTAAAACAAATGATAGCAGTGACCACACTGTCCACTTTTGAAGACCAATGCTTTACTTTTATATGTATATGTAATAAACAGCTCAATAAAAATTCAACTTACCAGATCTCCACTGTCAGGAACTGAAAATTTGAGAAAAAGAAATGTAAATGAGTGAGAAACTAAACAAATTTCATAATAAAATAGTCACCAATATCGAAACTGAACCTCTACTTACCTTCAGGAGGGGCAAAAAAATTAAAGAAAGAATCATTGGAAACTGTTTTAGTCACGGTACGAACTGTCCCTCGTCCCTTGTGTTTCTGCTTCTTCTTAATAGTTTTCAAAGTGACATTCTTTCCTTTTTTCCAATCTATCTGGCACCTAACAAAACAAAGGAGGAAACAGCAGACTTTGAATTTTTTAGAAATGTTCTATTTTAATATCAAATTTGAGAGAAGATAACTGGCTTATTAAATACTTTCTATAGCAGCATAATGAGAGACATTTTATTTCTAAACATTTTTAAAATATACTTACAATTAGCAAAAACACAGTACAATAAAGATAATAGTGCACTCCTCTGCAGAGAAATGTTGTTGTTGTCATGGCAAAAAAAATCGTAGGAAAATTGGACAAAACATTGTACTGAAATGTTTGGCAATAAATAACACACATATGTATACATCAAGTACACACAATAGAAATACCAAGTATCACAAATAATAAGTACAACAAAGAGATATAACGTTATTATGGTCTGGATGTGAGATGTTCCCCAAAAGCTCATGTAAGACAATGCAAGAAAGCTTAGAGGAGAATGGTTGGTTATGAGAGCCCTAACCCAATCAGTGAATTAATCTCCTGGTGCAATTAACTGGGTGGAAGGTGAAAACCAATACAGTGTGGCTGGGGAAGGTAGGTCCCTAGGGATGTGCCTTTGGGGCATATATTTCATATCTGGTAAGTGGAGTCTCTCTGCTTTCTGATTGTGATGTGAGCTGCTCCCCTCCTCAGTGATGTTCTGCCTGTCTTCAAGCCCCAAGGAATGGTGTTAGCTGTTTATACACTGAGACCTCGGAAACTGAGAGTCCTAAAAACTTTTCCTCCTCTAAAGCTGTTCTTGTCAGGTTTTGAGTCACAGCATTGAAAATCACTAACTAAAACATACACTGTGAAAGTAGTAAAATTAACTTACCCTGTACAACCCATAATTTCGGGTCCATCAAAAGAAAAGGGATCAGAATCGTCTGGTTCTGACCTCATCCTGTATGTCTTTGTCAACACTTCATTTGTGAAATATTCATTGGGTTCAAAGTGAAATTCTAAGATAAACTCTTAAAAAAAAAAAAAGCATAAAAATTAATTTAACTCTTACACTGTGAATTTCAGTGAATAAGTAAATAGCTTAATCTATGGTTTAGTGTATTTTTTTGGTGGGTGGGGGTACTTGAGATAGAACTCAGGGACACTCAACCTCTAAGCCACATCCCCCACCCTATTTTGTATTTTCATTTAGAGACAGGGTCTCACTGAGTTGCTTAGCACCTTGCTTTTACTGAGGCTGGCTTTGAACTCACAATACTCCTGCCTACTCCTGAACCTCTGGGATTACAGGCATGCGCCACAGCACCCAGCTTAATCTATGGTTTTTAATAAGCATATACAAAATTTTAAATGTTTTCCTAATTTTGAAACATAATATGTTAAAAGCAAAACAAGGCATAAATAAAATGAATATAGTTTCAATTTACAACTATCACACTTAAGTAAACAGTCTAACCAAGTCCCCCTTTTTTCTAAACCTCTCCAAAAACAGGCTTTTAAATGAGACTAGAATTTGACACTAGCAAAAGCTCAACCTTAACAATCTATAGCCTATAGTTATAATATTGCCAATTTTTAGGAGAGATTGTTAGCTAATCTTTTCTTGAGGAGGAGTAGGGACCCTCTAATATCATATGAAATTCCTATGCACATGATTTTTAATGACTAAGAATTTACTTATTAATATATTACCTTGCCATTATTTTTTTTAATCCACTTTAATCCAGGATCATTAACTGTATTTTAAAAACAAGTGGAAATTCATAGAAAGGGAAAGGAAAACAGCATAAACAATGGCAATATCCAAATATTTACTACAATTAAGAGTAACAAGTTATCAGTTCCGTCTCACTTCCATCTCTAACTCTTGAATGGCACCTAATTTTAAAAACTTTCTTTTATCTACCTGTTAGCATGTTATAAAATTGAAAATATTTCAAAGTTCTTTTACCATAGGCTGGCCAGCATCTGAGAACTTCACTTTAATATCTTTCAAGTGCTTCAGAATAGGTTCGTCATGTTCCTAAAAATTAAAATAATAATAAAAATGAGTATCTAACATGGCATTTCTGGATCCATGTTCTGTTACTACATGAACCCTAGCTAGGATGTAATATCTTTCACAGCAAAGTTTTATATGACAATTATAAACCTTAGGACTCTCCAGATTATGGCCTATACTGAAGCTACTTTATACTATAGTTCTATTTCCACTGGTATAGAAAAAGTGACTAAACAGAGACAAATCATCATACAAGCTGAATAGTCTAAAAAAACACAATACCAAATCTAAATAAGGCATCTCTGCTTTAAAAATGTTTCTTGATTATAACTGCTGCCTTTTCCTTTTCTTTTTGTTAAAGTATAAATGCAGTAAGCAATCATTATATTGAGACCATTTTTTTCTTCACATGACTTCCAACAACCAAAAGACATGGCAACAAGTACTATAATACAGATGGTAGGGGTTCAAAGAAATGCTTGAGAAGCAATATTTCCCAAAAAAGTAATGTGTGTATTGGTTTTCCAGAGAATAAGACAATTATGAATGAGTTAAACACACCCTTATAGTATTCCTTTAAAATGCAAATTTCACTTGAAATTGTTCTGATTTCAGACTGAAAGGTCTTGACAGCTATATAATTGCAATTAAGATTCCCTCCCATTTGCTATCTCAAAATTAAGCAAAATAAAGAAGGTATGAGAAAGTGCCCGGTCAATACTGATCAATTATTAATGAGATCTCTTTCATTATCTAATATTTGAAAGATTACACTCATCAAAACTGTAATTTTCCTTCTATGGATGACTGCTACTTCAAAAAAACAAGCCTTTAAAGAGAACAATCACCAGAACCATATAAAATTCAAAGGTTTACCCGGGCAGGTAAACTGGTATTTTTATGACTAAAATTACCTGAACCATGTCACTGAGCAAGTCAACATTCTTAAAAACAGTCAACCAAAATTCAGGAATTCCTTTAGGGTCTTCTTTTTCTTCATCCTTTTTCTCATCTTCTATCTTGGCCTTTTCTTTCAGCTCCTCCTTGATAAGTGACAGTATATATATATATATATTATTGAATACCTAAAGTGGTATGTATACACAGTGGAATATTATTCAGCATTAAAAGAATAAAATCATGGCATTTGCAGGTAAATGGATCAAGCTGGAGAATATAATGCTAAGTGAAATTAGCCAATCCCAAAAAAACCAAATGCCAAATGATTTCTCTGATTTAAGGATGGTAATCCATAATATGCTGCAGGGAGTGGGGTGGGCGTGGGGGGATATGAAGATTAAATGAACTCTAGATAGGGCAAAGGGGAAAAAGGGAGGGAGGGGTAGGAAAGATGGTGGAATATGATGGTCATTATTACCCTAAGTACATATATGAAGAAACAAAGGATGTGACTCTACAAGCAGAGATATGAAAACTTGTGGTCTTTACAAGTAATATGAATTGTAATGCATTCTATTGTCATATAACATTCTCTTTAACTTACAGTGAACTAGATACTGAAATAATAAATCTATTATCACCAATAGTTAACTTTTAGTCAATGAACTTCTAGTTTAATTGTGTAAAACTGCTATTTATCCATTCTAAACCTTAATTTCAACAAAATAACAGCTACCACACCTCTCCCCCCCCCAAAAAAAACTATTAGAATCAGGAAAACCATTTTAGGAAGATAAATGAAAAACAAAGACTTTAAATAAATATACAGTAAAAAGGAAAAGCTAACAAAATAGTAACTTGTCTAATGCCTTACCTTGACATGTTCTTAAAGTATTCTCTTTATCAATCAACATTTAAAATAGCAATGCTAGAGAAAAGCAGGGTCAAAAAAACACAACACTGGATTGGTGTCAGTTCTGTCATTATCTGTTGCAAGTTACTTAAAAGTTTCCAATAGAAAAATGGAAACAGTCTTTTGTCTGTCATCAGAAAGTTCAAAAGAACACACTATAAATCTATGAGCTTGAAATACTACAAAAACACAAGGAAAAAATGATATTGGGTACAGCTGGTGCCAGGTTGAAGTGGTTCATCTACAATATGCATTTTATAAAAGAAAACATTTCCTAACAATTCTAATATTTCTGACAACTGTAAAAATATACTAAAAGAAAGTTGGTACTAACCGAAATTTCCTCTTCTTCATCTGGTTTCCATTCACATTCTTCTTCTGTAGGTTCATAAATTGCATTAATGATCTCAAATCGCTAATTAAAAAAAAAAAAAGCTTTCATAAACACACTTGGAACAAGCTTAAAACTAATGGTTTCTCACTAAGGACTCTTATAGATTTAATTAACAAACATACCACAACCTTAACTGTTACTATTGATGGTTTCCCCAAGTACCTCTAACACCCACTTTAGTAAGCTGTACAAAGACTAACCCACCTCCAAGAGTGTTTATATTTCCAGAGCTGGTACTAATTTTAAATAAAGTAGTAAAGAGAGAATTATTACCTTATCAAATAGAGGCTGATAGAGAACAGCATACTTCCTTTCAAGATCATGAACTTCCTCATAGAATTTGGCTTCTATCTGTGCACATTTAACTTGAAGGTTTTTGAGAGCATTCACTCGTCTTTTAACTACCCTAGGCAAGCTGAAAGGTCACATACAAGTTACATAGCATCATAGTAACACACAAATCACACTTCTTTAATCATCATGAAATTGAAGCAAAGGAGTGAGTGAATGAATAAGTTCCTATTTGAAGTAAAAGTATATTAAAAGAAATTAAACCTAAAAAGACAAGTATATTGACCCTAGACTATATAAAACCAGGTAAAGTAAGTTTGTATTATAAATCATATTGTCAACCCTAACGTCTTTAAATTGTAATCAAGTTCAGAGCTGGACTTGTCATTGAAGGCATCTGAAATGAATAACAATGACTACTTGAATTTTTTTTTTCCCCTCATATCTGTATCACTTGTACCAATTTGGGGAAAGCACAGAATATTTACTTTAAAGAAAAGAATATGGTATTACTTTCTATTTAATTTGGAATTATGTTAAATAAGAATATATTATCAACAGAGGGCATAAACTTTTAACAGATCTAATGAGAAACAATTCATATACGATATACTATGGGCCACTGATTTTTAAAGTTATACTTAGGTTATAAATCAAATTTATGAACCCTTCTACTACCCAAAGAAATGTCACTCAAAATTTACCTAATTTCAGGGAATCTATGCAACAGATGCAGAATCCAAGTTAAAATTTACTACCACAAACAAATTTTTGTGGATCAAACAATTCTCATACTTAACCACTACTTAAGTTAAGATTATTAGAAACAAAAAAATACTGAAAGATAAATTTTCTATTTTATAATTAAAAGTTAAAAACAATATTCTGTCAATATGGTAAACTACCATGGGCTTCTGGCTTTCTCTCCTACCCCAAAATTGCCTCTAGAAATTTTGCCATCCAAAGAGAAAACTACTATTGCAGGTGCCCATGCACACAGACACATATACATACACACACACACTCCATAAGTCACTTCTGAGTAATATCAAAGGCTATTTAACTGGTATAGGGTGATAAGGTGGTTTGCAATCTGGGGAGGGGATGGCTAGAGTATGCAGCATTGAAGATAGGCAGAAAAAATCATTTTTGCAAAGAAAAATTTAAAATCTCTGCTCTTGCCTTGTAACACTGTCTTATATCATTCAAAAGAGCCCAATGCCAGAGTTTCTAGGGTAACAGTCAGTCAAAGCCAGACTACTTCCTTTACCCATCTATCTAGGTATAATAAATAGATCAGACACCAAAGGAGACTGCTTCTCCTCCAAGCAAACCAGAATAATTGCCTGGAATTGTCAACCAACTTGAGTCTTAGGCTCCAAGTGCATTCAAGTTATCCCCTCTCTCCAAGAAAATGCCATAGACTACTTCTGACCTTTTCTTCCCACCAATGTTTATTTTGAGTAAATGACACTACCCAAGATGCCTGAGCCCAAAAGCAAAAAAAAAAAAAAAAAGTCCATGAGGTTGAAAAGTTCTCCCAGAAGACAGCATTAAGTATAATTGAAAAGATATGAGTTATGGACGACAAAAAAGTAGCAACAGCTAAACAGTAGGGGGTTGACTATTACAAGAAATGATTACAATTTCCCTTTTCTTGAGAAAATCCTTACTCATCAGTGGTATTTATTAATATCAAAAATAAAAGAAAATTATAAAGGTGTTCAACAGAAAAAAGCAAATAATCATCAAAAGGAGTCAGACTGATAATGCTAGGTTTCATAAGAAACATTATGAGAAAAAACTTAATTGTAATTAAAAAAATTTTTAGTTGTAGATGGATAATACCTTTGTTTAATTTATTTATTTGTATGTGGTGCTGAGTATCAAACCCAGTGCCTCACACATGCTAGGCAAGTGCTCTACCACTGGGCCACAACCCCAGCCCTAATTTTTAAAAGTTTTAAGAACTATCAATCTAAAATTTTATGGCCAAATTATCCACATATGAAAGCAATATAAAAATTGTATCAAGAACATCAGGCTTGAAGGCCATACATACATATATTAAAGAAAATTCTTGAGAAGGTAAAACAAGAACACAGGTAATTCCTTAAGATATAGGTGATCAACCAGCTTAAATTTTTATATTAACAGTAAATTTAATAAACAAACAGGGGTACATAAACCTAGGTATTAAGTTATGATACATCTTAAAACAGAATGTATTAACTTCAAAACCATCAGAAGACAGCCTGATGGAAAGTATAGGAGGATGATAAAAAGAAATAACTACAAAAAATTTAAAAATAGAAAAAAATGTCAGTGGTAAATTCAGAGAATGTAATTTTCAAGAAGCATGAAGTTGAATTTACTCACAAAGAAACAAATATCCATACAAGAAGTCAAAAAAGAAATGTCAGTCTTAAAAAAATAAATAAATAAAAGAAAGCTCAGATAGCTATCATAATATTAAGCGGGGAGGGAAACAGAATTTATGGCAAGGAAAAAAAAAGCTAAGTACAAGTGAATATCTCAGTACAAAAGAACAAGATATATACATTATAAACAGCAAATATCTAATAATACAGCTTCAAAATGTACCAACCCCAAACTGATAGGATTATAGGGAAAAAAAAGATAAACTAGAGATCTTTAACATATTGTTCCAAGAAACTTAGATTAAGCAGGTACTCAATAAGCAGAAAGGATGAGAACTTGAACAATAAAATAAGCCTGAGCTATTAATTTCAGCATGTCTTCATACCCGACAAATATAAAAGTGTTAAGGCAACAAAAGACAGATTTTTACAAATCAAATAAACCAAACTGTAAAAAGGAATAGAGCAAACTAAACAAATACATGTTAACATTAAAGCCAGAAATCAATAAGAGTAATATAATTTTGATTAAACAAAAATATGTAAAACTATACTAGTCAATTTAAAACCCAGATAAAATACATACCAGTTTAGAAGATAAAACTCTTAATAGACACAAAAAAGAATGTGAATAAACTGTGTTAAAAGAAAAAAAAAATGGTGGCCCAGGGGCTAGGGTTGTAGCTCAGTGATAGAGTGCTTGCCTAGCCCGTAAGGCACTGGGTTCAATCCTCAGCACCACATAAAAATAAATAAATAAAATAAAAGTATAATAATACCTATCTATATGTCTATAACTAAAAATGGTGGCCTCAAATTCCCCAAGAGCTCTAATCCCCAAACTCCAAAAGCCCCAATATAATTTAGAAGAGTTGTACCAAATGTTCAAGGAAGAATAAATTCCTATTTTACTAAGGTGTTTCAAAACACAGAATTAAAAAAGTAATTGCAGCTGCATTCATTTATTAGACAGTTTTGGAGTCTTGACTCCAAAGCCTGTTAAATATTATCACTCTGTGAAAGTTTCTTTGTGGAAGCACAAATATACATCCATGCACACATATGAACACAAGCTATTTCACTAATGAATAAAAACAGAATTATAAGTATACAGCAATGTAACACATGATAATTAAGTTTATTCCAGGAAGATGGTTAGTTTGATATCTAAAATATGTATTACCAAAACATACATTATTATATACTGAACAGATTCAAGGAAAAAGCATTTGAATGAACACAGGAAAGGATGGATTAAATAAATAGAAACTGAAGACTGAAGATGTAGCTAAGAGGTAGAGCACCTATATAGTATGTGCAAGGGCCCTGGCTTCAATTACCTGTGACAAACTTAAAGGGCGAGTGGGGACTGAATATAATGGAGTTTTTATATTAATTCCCAATATGACTAGAAATAAGATAAAGATGCTCATCTGTAATGCTAATGTTTAATACAGTATTTAAAGACAGAAGAATATAGCATGATCTAAGGTAGAAGATTTGAGCTAAAACTGCCATTAATGCAGATAAGCTCTTTTGTCAGGTCTGGTGGGAGAACATAATTACAAAAACAAACTCAGTAATGTTACTGGATAGAAGATCAACATTAAAACAACAATAATAAAAAAATCGATAGCATGCCTCTGTATATCAGGAACAGTCAGCCAAAACTACAACAAAATAAAATTTAAAGAAGCAACACATTTAAAATACACAGAAATGTCTGGAAAAAAAAAAACCTCTCTGATAAAGTGAAATTATAAGACCCAGAACACAATATAAATATGCAATATTAAAGATACACTTCTCTTTAATTAATCTACAAATTGTAATTCCTATCAAAATTTTAGTGTTTTTAAATTTTTTAAAATTTGGGAATTCTGATGAACTTAATTGTCAAATATGTGGTAATGTTGTGTCAATTTTATGATTATGTTTGGGGATGGGGAAAGATGGAAAGAAGCAACTTGCCTTGTCAGATAAGAAGACATACTATAAAGTCAGAGTAATGAAGTTATGAAAATGACAAAAGAATACACAAAAAGGCTCATGAAACAAGAGAGTGTAGAATATTGTGTCTGGGGGTGTGAGGGTATGGAAGGAAGCAACTTGTCCTACTAGATATTAAGACATAACTACACTGTGAAAATAACAAAAAGACAGAGAGACCAATGAAAGGAAGTGCTGCTCAAAGACAAATGCAAGCGTTTATAAGAACGTGATATGCAATAAATGTGGAGGGGTACACAAGTGAAATGGGGGAAAGAAGTTATACTTTAGTGTTCTAAAACCTAGCCCCCCGGGGTAGGACACGGATGTGTACTCACACCAAATACAAAGGTGGCTTCTAGAGAGATCAAAGACCTAAATGTCAAAGGTAAAACTATTAGTGAATAGGAAATGTGGAAGGAACTGCGAAAGACTTCTATACGTTTCAAAAATCGAAGCCACAGGCAAAAATTTAAAAAATAATTAAGGATTTGTTTAATGGAAGACTCCAAAGATAAAACTTAATAGAAATTATACAAAATATTGTTTATAATACCTAAAGCCAATATGGGAATAACAGCATCTAGAATACAAAAGGAATTCTACGAAACAAGACAGTAACCCCAATAGGAAAATGGACAAAGGGTGCAAATAGGAAATCTAAAAGTCTCACTATCTTTATAAAAAGCAGCTCAAAATTCATGAACAATCAGAAAATACAACAAGTGAGCCCATAACTCTTAATTTGGTTTAAAAATAAAAATTTTAAAAACACTATAAATCTGGATGATGCCAACTGTTGGCAGAGACACAAAGATAAAGCAATCCTCATGCACGGGGCACAGTATTTCTGGAAATCATGCTAGAAATACCAAAAGCTTGCATCTCCTACAGTACTAATGATCCCACTATACATAATGTACACATCCCAAAGAAAATATGCACGATTTCTTTAAAGGAGATGCACAGGATGCCTATCACAATAGAATCTGTGTTGATGAAGAGAAGTCCATCAAAAGGTTCAAAAAACAAACAAAAAACAGTGGACACATACCACAGAGAACCAAACATTTAGAAGCTAGTAGGTAGTGATATACTAGATACTACCTACTTAAGTACTAGATACATAAGACCCATATCCAATATAACTGGATCTTAAAATCATAAAGTGGAGTTGTAAGTTTAATAAGATATTCAGGATATTGTTAATTATTATGTCACTAACGAAATATAAGAAATCGTTCTTCTAAATCTAACAAACCACTGAACAAATCTCAGAAATGGTTAAGATCAGTGTATCTCCTGTGGACTTATACTAAAACAAACTTTAAAAGATCAACTCTAAATGGGTGGTTCTAAAGCAAAATTCTAAACTTCCAATAATCCTATACTAGGTACTAGTAGACATTAGGTTTCCACTATTGCATACATAAATCTTAGATGGTTTAAAAAAACAGATATACCTGCAATGCTGATTATAGAAAAGATAAATAAGGAGGATGAAAAAGAACTTGTACCTTTCAATGTATCCTGTTGGTGTTTCTACCAGACCATCAAGTCTTTCTTGAAGAGCTGCAAGAATCTGAGGATTTTGCATCATCTGAACAGTCAGCTGACGCGCTTTAAAAAAAAGGGGGGGGGGCATTGAAAGAAGGCTTTTATAAAAATGTATTAAGCTTTTTTAACAGGATAGTCCAATCGTGAAGTTTTCCTAATTGGCCTATATATAAAATGCTTGTGTAATAAGAAATGGGCAGGGTAAGCTAAAGAAAACACACTGTAGGAAAACCCAATGTTCAGGAAAGCTCAGAACAATATTCTCTCTCATTTCCTATTCTTCCTAGTACCTTGTTTCACCCACCTTGTACTTTGCAAAGCTCAAAGCTTCATCCAGATGCCTATCTAATACTGTTGACAGTTCTTTGAAGGCATACAACACGTCAAAAACAAATATAGTGACAGCCTGGGATAAAGACGGAGGAATGACCTGGATGTTCATGTTTGTGTAATATACTTGTGTGTATACAAAGGAAGTTAAGAGTTGAAACAGTCAAAGGTATAACTGAAGCCAAACAAGATTTGATTATTATTTTTTAAAAATTATTCAGTCCAAATCTAAGCCAAATTTATGCAAAACAAATAATATTGCTCTTTCTGTATTTACCTATATAGATATTATACAAAATTGCCATTAATTTTTCCCAATTATGTTCCAGAAGGTCAAATTACTTCTGATATTAAATCACTGGATAACATACAGCTGTAGTAACTAAAAGGCATTTTAGAAACATCAATAATGTCCACTGAGGACACAGTCTCATATCTGTTTTAAAAAAACATTGAAAGATGAAAGCTATAAGTTCTAGAATCCTGTCACAATTTACTTTCATCTCTGGTTTAAAAATGAAAACATGAGTCATCTGGTGCTTCAATATTTTTGGCCCAGATAACAGGGTATACCTAGAGCAGCACAATTCCCTACTACTGCCACTCGTTTTAAAATTGTGCTAGAGTAAATTTTGAATGATTTTTATCTACATTTAATGAACTACTTTCTTCTTGTTTGGAAGAGTTGAGTTTTAGAAAGGCATACATACTGCATGTTTTCTATATTAAACACTAAACATATTAAAGCACTAGCAAAGTCCCCCCAACCCCACCACCTGAAACATTTCTAAATTCAGATAAAATCCACACAGCTCTTTAGTACAGCCATACTATGTGCTGCCCCAGCAGTAAAGGATTTGATGAGTGATTTTTGATGAGTCATTACATTCATTCCTGACTACCTCCTTTGTTTCTCCCTTCATCCTCCCTCCCTCCCTCTTACACACACACACACACACACACACACACACACACTCCCTCCCTCTCAAAGTTACTGAACTGGAAGTATGGATTAGTGGGCAAAGGACAATGTAGAGGGCCCCATTTTTTTTTTTTTAATGAAATGGTACTTAGGACTCTCCTCTAGAAGTCCACTGCCAGCCACCACTGGCTCCTAAAGTAATTTAAAATAATACCTTTGATTTTTGTTTCTTCACCAGTTTCTTCTTCTTCTACTTCTTCAACATCATCCAAATCTTGATCAAGTTCAGACTGTTCTTTGCTACAATATCATAGTATCACACCATGGTTCAAATGTACCAATTACAAAAAAAATTATAAAAAAACTTAAATTCATTTTCTAAATCAATATGCTTTCTTTCAAAGATGATAGGAAATTCAAAAGGTAATTCAGTTTCTTAACTTCATAGGTAAGAACTAACTGGAAGTACATAAACTTTCATTTAAAAGCATCTAACCAATTATAAAGTTTAGGGAAATGTGTTGGTGATATAGTAGTAAGCACAACTGCCTTCCAATTATAAAGTACATACTTCCATCTTTAAAAATGTAGTTTGGTCAATCTGAGGGGAATGTCCTTTCAGGTGGCATATGCTTTTGACCTAACATCATCTATTGAGTTCATTCTTCCTAGTATGAGCATCCTCAGTTTATATAGGAAGCAAAACACAAAGTCTACCATTTTCTAGCCTACCTTGTAGCTAAATGTGGCAATATGTCTGTTTTGGCAGTAAGATAAAAAAAGCAGAAGTAGAATAGAACTTAGGAAGAATCCTTAGAGAATAGTAGATAGCTAGGAAGTCCTTTTTTTAATCTCACTTCTTTCCTTCCCCCCTAGAATATGGATTTGATTGCTACAGTTCCAGCAGCCACACAGAATGATGAATACCCAGAAAATGTAAGCCACCAAGATAACTATAAAGGAGCTGGGAAAAATAGAAGGACCTTGAGTCCTTGATGGCTGGTGGAGCAACCATACCAACCTGTAATCACTATCTTTGGACTTTTCTCCTTTTTCTTTACTTCACAGTAGAGATGGAGAAGAACTGTTAAGATATCTAAGCCCACTTCTCACTTAGAGTAAAATCAGGAGGATCTCATTGAGAGAAGGTAAAAAGATAGCATCCTTCTCATTTAGTCTTAAAGAATCACCAAAAATCTAGTTTTTGAACATGAGATTATATCTAGCATTAAAAAGGGGGATAAAGATACCTAAAATCAATAACAGAGTCATGATACAAGCCTCTGAATTTGAATTTTAATATTTGGATTAGAGATTTAGTTGCTTCATGTCTAAACAGCATTTGAAAAATTATTTTTCATACAGGAACAAATACTAACTCTCATACAGGCACAAGTATATAAAAGGTGGTAAGCTAACAAAATCTAGGGCCAGCTAAAGAAAGAAATTCAGCCCTTAGAAATGATGATTCATGCAATTTGTTTTACTTTGTACAAAGTACTCGGTTTATACTTAGTAAAACATTGCAGAAATAGTCGAGCATGGTATAAACCTAAGTGTATACCTGCCTAAGAGTTTAGAGTCACAGGCTAAGCTAAAGACAACATGGAACAGCCATATATCTTCAATCATCTACTGAACATCCACATCTTAAGGCTTTAAACACAGGTGCCCACAAACTATGTCAGATACCCAATTCAGCCCACTTTCATTTGGGTGGGTGGGTACCAGGGATTAAACCCAAGGGGCACTTTACCACTATATCCCCAGTCCTTTGTGATTAAGACAGGGTCTTACTAATTTGCTAAGACTAGCCTACAACCTGTGATCCTCCTGCCTCAGCCTCCCAAATTGCTTGGATTACAAGCATGCACCACCACCAAGCCTGGCTCTCCCACTTCTATTTTCACAAATGGAATTTTTATTGAAACACAGACAAACTAATTCATTTATGTATCACCATAGTCACTTCCATACTACATGACATGAGTTGGGTATTTACAAGAAATCACATGGCCTAAAAATGTCTAAAACATTTTCTTTTGGTCCCTTTTCAGAGAAAAGCTCACTGACTCCTACTTTAAAGAACAAAATGCCCTTTCTCTCAGTCACTGAGGGCTAAGAGGTATCTAAAATTAAATAATAAGGGAGAAAGAAATCAAGGCACCATAACCAATTTATTATTTTTCTAAAAATTTACAAACTGCAGGCTCCCAGATTAATAAGGTAGTACTGCACAAACTCACATGATAATTCTGAATTCTCCAAAATGTCCATTAGCATTATGAAAAAGGGTTTCAACAGACAGAAAGACAAGGAGACAATAACAGCAAAACTCTGGAAGCCAGAAAACAGACAACAGATAATCAATTTCACTTGAGAACTAAAATGTAAATAGTGGGAAAAGCTAAGAACAACCCAAATACAGAGTTTTCAAAAAAACAAGAACTGGTAGCATCAACTATACTCCTATAATTAGGGCTTAAGGATGAAGATGACTAAAACAAGAAAGGACTGGGTACAAACTAATAAGCAGTTAAATCCCTAGATTTTCTACTCCACCCTCTTAGAAACATGGAAGTTTCATCTCTGAAAGATGGAACTTCTGAACTGGTACTGGGAGACAGACACAATTTAGAGTACCTAAGATACATGACTGCTTGCTAACATAACAGAATGGAAGCCAAGCCTATACCCAGACACTACAGATGGAGAAATCACTATTGACGGGGGGG